TTATTTTTTATTATTTGTATACATTTTTGTGCCTCTTTAGGTCTCTCCTGTGTAAACTGGAGCTTTTCCATTCCTTCCTGTCTCTGGTATCGGCCACTGACCCTGCAGCACGACCCGACTCTCTCAGGTGATTAAAGATTGGCTTTTTTTCATAATCTCGCTGTTGCTTTAAACTGCATTGAACTACTTTTTAACCCACTATGAAACACTTAAATTGATTGTGATGCCTCTATTTGACCTACAGAATCAAATAAGACCATCAGTGATAAGACTGATTATTTCTATATTCTAAATTTGAATGCCTCTAACAGCTGTAGGTGTCAGACGATTAGACGATTCACAGCATGTTGAAGAAACAGCCTTTACATTTTCTACATCAAATATTCACAATAAAAGATTCCTTTCACTGTTACTTTAGCATTTAAACGGATCACAACGTTTATTATTTAAACGTTATGTTCACTAAAACACTAACCAATCAAAGCGGGGGTAGATCAGCACCTTCTATGTTCCTCATCATATGTTCTATGTTCTTATGGTCATTGGAGACTTCAATCAATCAATAATGGCTGTTTCTTCTTAAAATTAAATTAAATTAAGTAATTATTTTAATGGAACACCAAATCACAACAAAAGTTATCTCTGTACTCTCTGTTATATTGTAATGCACCATGAGCAAGGAATTGGCAACAGTAACAAGGCGAACTATCTAGCAGAACTAGCCTGAAGCAATCAATTCTAAAACTTTTGTTTTTCTTTTTTTTGTCACTTTTGATCATCAATCTGAATCTAAATTCCAGAATTAGAGATGTGTAGAAGTTAATGCTTTGAGGGTCTGATGTTCACCTCAGGTGAAGCTCTTGATCTGAGATGAGGCTTTATAATGAGGCCTCAGAGATGAAGAGTGATGTTTTTGTCATTTAACATAATGCGCTGACTGAGGCCTGTGTGTGTCACTTCTTCTCTTACCGTGCATGACCTTCTTGTGCTTTTGTTTGAAACTCATGTTTTTGTCTTTTTTTTTCTGTAGTTGAACAACCAATGTCCCAGGTTTTTCTCTTCATAGTATATAGTAAAGAGTTTCAAATTACTTGTTGAGATTTTACCCAACAAATTGTGTGTGTGTGTGTGTGTGTGTGCCTGCCTGTCATGCAGTTCTCACATTTCATTTATAAGTCTCCACGAGTGCTTCCAGGGTTGTCCATGTTCACATTCTTTGTGTGTAGGAGTGTAATTAGGTGTGTGTCTGCGTGCGTACAGATGGCTGAGAATCGTCCTCAAACAGCAGAACAAGAGTCTCTCTGTTTATCAGAGTTTTGGCAGATAACCCGATCCCAGTCCAGCTTGCCCTGCACCATAGACACACATGCACATACACACTCAGCATACAATGACAATTATCTGTGTTGACAATAGTGTGTCCAGTGAGGAGAGACATATAAGATATTTGTTAGTCTCCAATTTTTGTCTGATTTGATAGAGTTTCATGTGTAAGAGGACATAAAATAAAGCAGCGGCAATCCAAAGTCTCCGCTTGACTCTTAATGCATAAACTCAAGTCACCTGATGCTAATTCTAATATTAATCTCCTTACAGTTAGCTCCTTTTTCCACGCATTTTGACTTGTCATTGGACATAAACCAATGTGCTAACACCAGTAATGGCTATGTTGCTTTCAAGTGTCTTAGTAAGCAGTGATTTCTTTCTTTGTTATATTTCAGGGGAGCAGATCTGCAGACTTACTGGGACTACAAGAAGGCCTCTCAGGCTCACCAGCAGGCGTGGCAGCAGCTCCACAGCCAGGCCTTCCCGCTGTGGCCACGCAGTGACAGAAATCTACTGCTCTTCCGCTGAAAAGCTGAGGTGTCCTCGATAGGATCGATGAAAATAGTGCATTTTTTTTGTAGCAAGGATCAAAGGGTTAAAGAACTGCTGGTCGGAGAGAGGATTGGTCTATCCTGGGCCCGTGAAACTCACATTTTAAACAAAGGACAGCAGAAAAGGGTAAATTACAGAAAACCTGAATCATGATCTTCTTTATATAAATGGATAATTTGATTTATCTGATTTTTAAGAGTTAATTTCCCATCACTGGTTTGGTCATCTGGTCAATCTGGATAAATATTATTCGACTATTTTTGACTTTCTCACTGCTTTAAGCAGCAGGACATTGTGCTCTGTCCTGCTGGTAAGAGAGGTCGATGACCGCTCCTCAGTGTCCTCAGATGATGGCTTTATTTTCACAATGACTGTAACATGTTGCGAATGCAGCTGCTAGGGGGTCACTCTCTACAGCCACAGCTGGACACACCTGTGTGTGAACAAAAGGGTTCCGAGTTCGATTTGCTACAATTGACCTGAAGTGTGTTTGGTATTATAAATGATTCTAGTCCTCTGGGACTCTGCTGTCACTCATGAGGACAAATAGCAAACTTCTACTAACAGTCCCGCATTGACATCCAGACAGCAGATCAACACAGGGACTGAGGATCACTTGTGTTGTTGCTGAATCTCAGCAGATTCTACTGATAAGTAGCAACCTAACTGAGCTCGGCTAATACAGAACAGTGTGCTACATGTTATCGCCCTCACAAGCGTCCTTACCCATGAGAAGCTGGGTATTTTGTTTCGATTGGGCATGTTTATACATTAGAAGTTTCTGACTTTATTTTCATACAATGATAAAATATGATATTATATTTACATTGTCAGTTCAGTCTTTGTTTTTACAAAGTTGTTTTGATGGATTTAATTTCTTTTGTATTTCATTGGGGTAGCTTTGTTGTGGTTAAACTCTTCCAGTGTGAACTAACCGGCAACTTTGCTTTGAAAGAATCTCCCCCACCACTGTTTACCAGGCAGGAGTCTGAAGTGTAGCTTACAGAGACTATAATCTGCGGAGCCCTGAAGTCCCAAAAGTAAAAAAAAAACTTGTTTGTATGAGTTTATATAACTATTTACTTTTGGGACTTCAGGGGCTGCCAGTTTAATTGGATGTGTAGGTTACTACTGAGGCGGCTGTGGCTCAGTTGGTAGTCTGTCGTCTCTCAACAGGAAGGTCGATCCCCGGCTCCTGCAGCAATGTCCGATGTGTCCTTGGGCAGACACTTAACCATAAGTTGCTCCCGCTTCTTCGTCGGTGGTGTATGAATGAGATTAGTGAATACTGATGGTCACTTTACGTAGCAACCTCAGAAGACTAAAAAGTCATTTACCGTATTTTCCGCACTATAAGGCGCATTTAAAAGCCTTTAATTTTCTCAAAAAACGACAGTGCGCCTTATAATCCGGAGCGCCTTATATATGGATCAATTGGTTAATTGGTTTGATCCATACTGGTTGTACACGGCGCTCAGCGACACTGACTCAGATAATGACGAGAGGGAGCCGGGCATGTTGGATGCCGTACTCGCCAACTGTTCAATTCGGACACTGAAGAAGAAGAATTCGAGGATTCGTGGACGGGGAATGAACTGAAAAAGTGAGCTTTACGTGTTATACGTAACTGAACAATGTTGAGTTATGCACTAACGTTTGAATTAGTGGTATCAGACTGTGTTTCTTTTACGTGTTTACAACTGAACAAGGCTGGGAGATTTGTGAATATGCACATTAACGTTTGAACAACGTTGAGTTATTGTGAATGCAGTTTTATACGTAAATTGAACAATTTCGAGAGTTACTATATTGTGAATGCACTAACGTTTGATTTAGTGGTATCAGACTGTTTCTTTTACTACGTGTTTACTGAATCAGGGAAAAGTTCCCCTCCACGTTTGGGAGAAGAGTGAACAAGGCTGGGAGATATTGTTAATATGCACCATTAACGTTTGAACATCGTTACTATGGGAGTGAACGGAGTTGTCAGAACGCTTAATAAAGTTTGACTTTATCTGACTGTTTTGTTGACATTCCCTGTAGCACAGCTCCATCTAGTGGATGCATAACGCAACCCCAGTCAAACGTTTGACTGCAGTATCTTCTATTCTATGCGCTTTATAATCCGGTGCGCCCTATATATGAAAACAGTTCTAAAATAGGCCATTCATTGAAGGTGCGCCTTATAATCCGGTGCGCCTTATAGTGCGGAAAATACGGTAGATGATTCCAAAAGGAGAAGGCTCTACCTCCCATAGTACATTTAGAGACTGTAGGTACCACGAGAGGGCTTGATAACTGAAGGCTCTACCTCCCATAGTACATTTAGAGACTGTAGGTACCACGAGAGGGCCTGATAACTGAAGGCTCTACCTCCCATGGTACATTTAGAGACTGTAGGTACCACGAGAGGGCCTGATAACTGAAGGCTCTACCTCCCATGGTATATTTAGAGGCTGTAGGTACCACGAGAGGGCCTGATATCTGAAGGCTCTACCTCCCATGGTACATTTAGAGACTGTAGGTACCACGAGAGGGCCTGATAACTGAAGGCTCTACCTCCCATGGTATATTTAGAGGCTGTAGGTACCACGAGAGGGCCTGATAACTGAAGGCTCTACCTCCCATGGTACATTTAGAGACTGTAGGTACCACGAGAAGGCCTGATAACTGAAGGCTCTACCTCCCATGGTACATTTAGAGGCTGTAGGTACCACGAGAGGGCCTGATATCTGAAGGCTCTACCTCCCATGGTACATTTAGAGACTGTAGGTACCACGAGAGGGCCTGATAACTGAAGGCTCTACCTCCCATGGTACATTTAGAGACTGTAGGTACCACGAGAGGGCCTGATAACTGAAGGCTCTACCTCCCATAGTACATTTAGAGACTGTAGGTACCACGAGAGGGCCTGATAACTGAAGGCTCTACCTCCCATAGTACATTTAGAGACTGTAGGTACCACGAGAGGGCCTGATAACTGAAGGCTCTACCTCCCATAGTACATTTAGAGACTGTAGGTACCACGAGCAGGCCTGATAACTGAAGGCTTTACCTCCCATAATAGAGCAGACCTGCATTCTTGGAGCATAATATTATAGATGGGTAATATGCACTATGAGCTCTGTGAGATATTCCACTGTTAAATTAATGCACCTCTGTTTTTTGTATTTTACAGAATCACTCACAGTTACTGTGCAACTATTTCGATGTAGAGGGTAGGTTCATATCAGTTTTTTTTTACTTACAGCATGAAATGAAACTTTGCATTGCGTTTGAGTAACTGAAACTAGTTCAATAGCTCACTGACAACTTTGAGAGTATTTCTTTATTGTACAATATTGTCTGTGATGTTTTCAGAGTTTTCAGAGTCCTATCTTCACTTTGTTTACATCGCCGAGACGGCCGGCCAGCTCCTCCCCTCGCGTATAAAAGTTGTTTAATTGAGGGACTAGAGAAAAGAAGAATAACATACTGTACTCACTGCTTAACTGTGTTTCTAGATCACGCTTGATCACCCTTTAAGAAATATCAGTCAACTGAGAATATTATAGTGTCATCGAGATGCTGTTTTCACCTCGAGTCCTCACCAGGTCAAACAAACAGTCTCACATCACTTCCACACTGAAATCTCTGCACCGGCTCCCTGTGGCTTAAAATTCTAAACCCTCACTTTTAGAGCCATTCAGTCAGGCCCCAGAATATTTGTCAGAACTCAATCGCCTGTAGTCACCCACCTGTTCACCAAGGTCCAACGCCCAACACCTGCTGTCCGGCCCACAGACACATTCTAAGACTCGTGGTGATCGTGCATTTGAGACCATTGAGTCTTTTTAAAAATCAGCTATATGTTTATTAATAGAAAGGCCTGTGGATAATGAGGTCCACCCAGACTACCTACTGATCTACGTTTTACTGTGCCAATTATTGTTCCTGGTCACGTATGTTGATTTTAGTTGATGTAAAGCACTTTGTGACCTTTGTCTGTGAAATGTGCTATACAAATAAACCTTACTTACTTACTTAATGTTGGAGCAAACATCATCATGTGGCCTGACATGCAGTTTGGATATTTGCATTTCCAGATACTTGCTGGAGAACGAACGGATGTGAGACGTACAATGTAACCGATGACAAAGGAACAGGCATCACTTGCATCTGTAACCACACAACACCATTCGCTGTCCTGCTGGTGAGGAGACACACTCGATTTGATTCACCTGTTCCACATAAGATCAAGTCATTCAGCACCTTGAAAACAGGAACTACAAAAAATCCAGCTGTTTAAAGTCGTATTTGATCATCATTTGTGTTAGATACTACGTTGTGTCTTGTTCCTGACTTTAAGTTAATATTAACCTGTCATTTTCACACTGGAACCACTGTTTTATCTTTTCTGCAGATTAGAGAGCCAATTGCAAAAATCCACTGGGAGATTCTGTCATACATCAGCTACATCGGCTGCAGCCTGTCCGCCTTCTTTACTGCTTTGTCTCTTGTCATTTATGTCTTTGGTCGGTATGTGCACTTAAATTCTTATGCATTTGCACCATGTGCACTGTTAGCCATTCAACACCAAAAACACTGGTATAACACAATGAATACCTGATATGTAAAGAGAGAGAGCAAGAGGGGCGAGCGCGAGAGTATTGTCTCTTAATACCCACGTCAAAGTTAGGTTACAGCTGTCGATCAACAGAAGCCAAAAGAAGATAGCACCCTCTGCTGGTTAAAAAAAGTTTTGTTGTTCAATTTCAAATTGATTGAAATTGTCCATATTTGGATTGATTTTTAATGGTATGGACAGATAATGTTAGATCCCTTAATTGTAACCAAACCTTTTCTTAATTTTTATTTATTTAACCAGGAAAAAGTCTCACTGAGATTAAAAATCTACAAATTAAAAAAGAGCGTCCTGGCCAAGACAGGCAGCAGCACAGTTACAGGGTTTCAGACATAAAACACATCAATAAGAATCACAAAAAGAACCATTCATCAGAAACTGTCATAAGTCATCAGCAACAAAGCGATCAAAAAAGGTTCAATACGAGTTAGCTAAAACATCTACAGTCAGATATTTCTGCCTCCAGATCATTAAGACCCCCTTTAAAAAGATTCAAGGAAACCAGCTCCTGAAGATTTAAAGTATCTTGCAAACGATTCCAAGAAGAGGGAGCAGCATACTTGAACGGACCTTTTTCCTAGAAGGTGTAAATCCTGCGAGTGAAGATGGTAACTTCCATTACTTTTTTGAAGCACTTTGAACTTGACATGCTTAATTCAGCCTGAGAGTTTACAGAGATTTACAGGTAAACTATATCATCGGCACGATTGTGGCATAAGTACAGAGGTTAAGATTAACTTATAAACATAGCGCCATGCACCTTACAAGACATGATTCATCGATCTCATACTTGTCATACGGCTTCTTTCCAACAAGCAAATTGAATACATAGAGAAAAAAGAGGAATCGGCCATTTTACTGCTTCTGAAAAAGACAAAAGTGAGAATCAAGAGGGACATATTTCAAAGTAAAACAACAATTTAATAACTCATTAGCTATCATCAGCGGTGGATACATTTAGCAATCAAACCCTTCATTTCTAAATTGAATGTAGTTGTCATTAAAGGAGATTTTAACCGAGTCCAGACAGATTTTTTGACACTGGGGGTGAGAGAGCTGAGTTGGGGTCCTCAGGCCTGGAGCTAGCTGCAAGTCTAAC